CTGGAACAATGGGCACAAAGTGACATACTGAATTAATTGTACCTCAGTTGACTGAATCATATAACAGTCACGTAAGTCAGTATATTGAATAAATGTCTTTTCATGTCATAATTTTTGTCTTCATTGAGGAATTGGTGAATTTGCTTTATTAATCTGGGTGTAGCTGTGACTACATATGTGCACCAGCATTTTTAAATATGTTGAATACAGGTTTTCAGTGTGTGTTCAGGGTGTAAGGGGATATACCTTTGGAGAGGTCAGAGTTCCATGTCAGGTATCTTCCTCTGTTAACTCTACTTTTTGGGACAAGGTCTCCCACTGAGTTCTGGAAGTCTAGATTTGGCTCAACTGACTGGCCAGGGATTCCCCTGCCCCTCACTCCCACCCCACCCCTGTCTGCCTCTCCCTGCTAGATTACAAGCACATACCTCCACACCAGCTTTTACATGGGTCCTTTCTGGAATAGTATTCTTTACTATTTCTCAGAACTTTTTTGTTTTCTTTTGTTTTTGGTTTTCGAGACAGGATTTCCTTGTGTAGCTTTGGAGCCTATTCTGGCACTCGCTCTGGAGACCAGGCGGGCTTCAAACTCACAGAGATCCGCCTGCCTCTGCCTCCTGAGTCCTGGGATTAAAGGGTTGTGCCACCAGCACCCGGCTTCCCAGAACTTTTTTTTTTTAAGATTTTATTTATTTTTTTATGTATACAACATTCTGCTTCCATGTTTATCTGCACACCAGAAGAGGGCACCAGATCTTATAACGGATGGTTGTGAGCCACCATGTGGTTGCTGGGAATTGAACTCAGGACCTCTGGAAGAGCTGTTGGTGCTCTTAACCTCTGAGCCATCTCTCCCGGCCCAGCTTCTCAGAACTTTTAAATTTTCTAATAAACCTAGGTTTTAAAAAGCTTCTAGGAGTGGTTTTATTGTGTAAGATATTGGACGATATATAAAGAATGAAGGGTACAAGTATAATAGCTGTGTACTAATTTCTGAAGTTTATCCTCATAAGAATGTATGACCCAGGCATGCACATTATTAGAAATATTTGTGAAACCTGATAAAAATAGAAACCTGGTAATTTACCCAGAATGTTGTGTGTGTGTGTGTGTGTGAGATACATATATATACCACACGTGTGTGTGTGTGTGTGTGTGTGTGTGTGTGTGTGTGTGTGTGTATGTATATATTAGGTAGATCATAAAATATAGCATTTTGACTCCCATAAATGATTTTAAAATATTGCTAAAGTTGAGACTGTTTCTAGGAAATAATTGTGGGCTTTATAATTTTAAAATGTACAATTCAAGTAAAATAATTCATGGTATATGTTTTTTTATAAATATCAGTGTCCCTTGATTTAAAGAATATGTTTGAGATAGTAAATTTTTTTAATCCTTAGGGTTCAGTGTTTTCCTGTCTTTCATGAAATACATTGATACATGTAATGATGATAATATAGTAGATTAAGGTTTGTTTAATCAGTGTATTAAACAGAAGGGAAATGATATGCAGAATGCCATCGCAAGATTTTCACAGTAGGGAATTCTTTCATCTACTACTTATGCTAAAATTTCTTTTATTTTTTTATTTCAAATTCTTATAATCTAATCTTAATAGTGTCCCTTTTTGATATATAAAATGTTAGTGAAAGCTCATAAATCAGCAAATTAAAATACATATCTCTAAGTAAAAAAAGCATAAATTTTTGACTGAGTAGACCAGTAAGCCTAGGTTGTAAACACAGCCTCTAATAGACAAGATCTTCAGTGGTACTTCCTCTAATGAAACAACTTAATCATTCCCCATTTATTTTATACCTGTTTTCTCTAGGAGACTACCAAGAGTTCTATGCTCAAATGTTTTTCTTCATGTAGAGATCTGGAGTATGCTGAAAACATAGATATTAAGGATTCTTGGATCACTTTCCAAACTAGGAAGAAATCTTATAAAATTTTACATGTCATTTTTGGAGAATTAAAAAAAAAAGTGAAGAATGTATGGTGATCTGCCATTAGGACTTTCTGCCACACCACACAAGTACTCAGCAATAAATAATAATGAGATCTTTATTTTTCAATAGCGGGACCCCCCAGAAGAGGAAATACCATTTTGTACTCTAAAGTCCTTTCCAGCTGCTATCGAACATACTATCCAGTGGGCAAGAGACAAGGTAAAAGTTGTTAATGAATTTGTCTTCTCTGAATTAGAAAAGGCAGTATTATAACTTCTAAATATATTTGGGTTGTGTTGTTTGTTTTTTTTTCCTTTACAGTTTGAAAGTTCCTTTTCCCACAAGCCTTCATTCCTTTACAGTTTGAAAGTTCCTTTTCCCACAAGCCTTCATTGTTTAACAAATTTTGGCAAGCCTATCCTTCTGCAGAAGATGTTTTACAGGTAAAAGTTAATGCCTTTTACTACAGACCTAATACTTTATGTCATGATAACCTTATTTTCTAGTTACTTGAAAATAAAACCTTTCTGCAGAAATAAGAGTGGCCCAAATCTCCTGAAATTAGGTCACTGATAGCCTTTTTAAGGTTAATTGAACTGTATGTCATTGTCACTGCTTGACCTTCAAACCTTAGCTTTTGTTATTCAACCCAATGAGGATGTGATATAGTAATAAGAGAGCAACAGATAATCAAAGGGTTTTGTAAACTCCTTGGGAAAAACTTCAGGTCAATTCAAGTGAAAATAATCATGACTGGACAGTAATCTCATTACTCTCACAATAAGGCCACCTTCGAAGATACTGCCTTACATTTCTTTAGCATATATAAGTAAAAAGGTCAATTTTGTATTAACTGTTATTCCTAGGATTCCATATACTAAGCACCACTTTGGTATGTACTATCTTACACATAGGAAAACGTTGTGAATTAAGGACCTTCAAATCTACAATTTCATTTGCTGTCCCCAGCTATTCTGCTCATAATGAAAGAAGAA